TTTTGCTAGGAAGTGTAAGGAATAGTCTTATGCCTTTTTATGTCATTTTCTTTGCACATATTGTCAAATTCAATACTACAAAACTCTAGGTCATTTTCAGTTCTCAAAAACTTGATCCCCTTGCAGTTTGGTTCTCAACTTGTTTTTTTCTATTATTAAAATTGTGGAAAGTATCAGACTTATCCTTTAAAAAATAAACTCACACTTTTCTCGTGTAATCATCAATTATAGAAAAAAAAACACCTATTTTCACTCGATGTGGGACTACTAGCAGGACTCCACAAGTCTGAATGCATATATTTAAGCATGTCATTAGGTTTACGAACACTCGTGGAGAAAGAAGTTCTATGATGCTTACCAAGCATAAAGTGCTTACAGAAAGATAAATCAGACACATAATCATTACCAAAAACACATTTTTCATTAAGAAATTTAAGCCCCTTAATACCACATGTGCTAGCCTATTATGTCATTTATGTGTGTGATCAGCTTCGACAGAAGAGATAGATGAATCTAAACCTCTTATTACTTCCCAATAGTGATATAAATATCATTTTTTTTGATTCCCTTAATGGAAACAAGTACACCCTTAACTAATTTTAAAACTCCATTTCCAATTTTACCAATGAAGTCAGATTTCTCAAGTCTTCATATTGATATTAAATTCCTAGACAATTCAGAAATGTATCTAACACGTTTTAAAATATACACAAAATCAATGTCAAACTTAAAAGTAATATTACCAATTCCAACAACAGTATAAGCAGAATTGTCACATAGCACAGCATGACCATCATTTGATTCATACAAATTTTCAAACCAATCTTAATGTGATGTCACATGAAAAGATGCACCAGAATCAAGAATCCACTCATGAAAACGAGAATTTGCAGTTGAGTTTAATTCAGCTGAAGAAACAACAGAATTGGTAATCATATAGACTAAATTTTCAAACCAATCCTTTTGTGATGTCGCATAAAAAGATGCACTACAATCTAGTGTTTCTTAACCTTAGTCCTAGATTTTGATCTAGACCTAACCATGCCATTTTTTTTTATCTCCATTACTACTTGACTCGCCACCACTTTGGAACACATCATAACTGTTTTGCCTAAATTGAGTTGTACCACTTATCATGTGAATCTCATCGTCTTTCTTATCATCTTTTTTAGCTTTAATCTCTATCTCTTTACTTCGAAGGGAGTCAATGACGATTTCAGGCATCAAAGTGTCTCTACAGTACTTAATCGCATTCTTAACTTCCTTATAGGTATTGAGTATGGAGTTAAGCAAAATTGTAGTCTCAGACACTGACTATTCACAGTTAACAATATCTTGAATAAGTTTTTTAAACACATCTAAATTATCATCAAGATCATTTGAAAGATCCATTTAAAATTGAAAAACACTCAAGTAAAGTTTGTTCGGAGTAAATACAATTCTTCCAATTTTTTCCAAATTTCTTCAGTGGTTTTCTATTTTCTATTTTTTTCAAAACGACTTTAGACAAGTGTAAAATGATTAAAGTATAGCAAATAGTTTAATCACGTAACAATTAAAGGCAAATAGTTCCTAATTTTTAGTACATGCAATAGTTACCCCACACGGTAACCCTAATCCTATTGTCACCTCGACACGATGATGCACTAGTTCCATAATATTTAGAGATGTGAATCTACTACTTTAGGGCCACCATTATTCGCCCAAAAGTTTCAACAAGTGTATTGACGCAATTGACCAAAAATTACAAGCCAAGTGTCCGGAGGCAAATACAACTTGAAACACAAAATTAAAGGTACCAGTACGTTCATAATGATAAAGTGAGTAAATTGTTCAAAAAAAAAAAAAAAACTCCTCCAAAATCTACTCGACATGCCCCACGTGCCACCATCGAAATCCTCACGCGCAGTCGTCGAAGGCAGCCATCACTTGCACAACATGGTTTCGATCTCCATTTGCCCCAAAACTTCTCAGTTTAACCAGAAATCGAGATTTCAGGTTCGACTAGTTTGAAGAAAATTGATTTTAGGGTAGTTTTTGTTCGAATTTCGGTTTGAAAAACTTGCACCAATGGCTCTAATATCGGATGTAGCGGAATATTTGTCACCAAAGTTTGCTCCGAGCTCAGTTTTTACCTCTATTCAACAACGTCAATAGAATAGTTGACCCAAAAATCCTCCAACCAAATCCTCTATCCGATTGCTATAGTTTGTCCACAAAGGACACATACAAAGAGATGTAAACACAGCCACAAGACAAAAGAGAATAAGGTAATGGGAGATGCAATGTCATGGAAAAACAACCGATTTCACAAAGAATAGAGACAGGGCAGATCACGGTCAAAACCAAGTGAAGAGAGAGCGACATATATAACACACATTAGGTCACATCAGTGCACCCAAGCCTAATATAGATAAGTAAGTGGATTCGGTATCACTAAGTGAGCCGACATTTATAAGTCATCCAAGGAGAAAGGTTTGGGTCACGAATAGCTCTAAATAAATTAGGTTGCTTCCAATGGCTCACTTGATTTTGGGGTTTAGTCGTCTTTATTGAAGTGTCGACTTTCCATTCAGTCATATGGTTGATGCCGACTAAGAAAATATACCGAGTTACATCATTGCCAGGGAGGCTGTTTGACAACAATTTTGTAACGACTTGATCACGCACTGGATCTTTTATCATATCATACGTACTATCCGCTGTGGGAGAGCTTGGACTCATCTTATTCCTCGCGGCTTTCTGATGCGTCTTCCAGGATTCGAACCCAAGAACTCCATCATATGAGAGACTTAAGTTGAATCCTAGTACCAATTGGAACCAGAATTCAACTTATGTCTCTCATATGATGGAGGTCTTGTGTTCGAATCTTGGGGGACGCGTCAAAAATCCGTGATGGATAAGATAGGTTTAGGCTCTCCTGAAGCGGACAGTACATAAGAAAACGGCTCCCGCGCGAGGTCGGGTCATTTCAAATTTGCCAACAATGATAATATAGAATTGAACAAATTTTCAGGAATTTCCCACAGAAAACTTGTTGCTCGACAAATAAATGGTTTTCAGGGCACCCAATTTAGTAAAATTTGGTAACTACCCATCGAAATTATTGTTCATCAAGCTAATTGCCCTAAAATTTATTAATTCGGATAGGGTATCAACATCAATGGCACCCTTTGATCCCATATTCTCAAGCTTGAGTCCTCAAATAGTCTCATTGTCACAAAGAACACCTTCCAAATTCTCTTTACCCCCATTGTATGGTGGTTTGGTGGAATCCCAATTGGATAATGCACTATTGTTAATCTCGAGGGATGCCTTGGACTTGAGAAGGAATTCTGAATCGGACTTACTCGAAGTGGCCACTAAATGCAAGAAAATAATGAAGAATAGAAGGAGATGACGATAGCCTATGTAGCATAAGAGAATGTTAGAGTTTACATTGGTCATCGTGGCATAACATGATGGTGAGGTGCGGTGTGGTGAGCACACTCATAGGTGGATGCCCAGTCAAGAGGTACCTAGAAATGAGAACAAAAGGCTTGCTTTGGGGTTGATCGAAAATGCAGGAGAAATGAAATGAAAGTTTGTGGGCATGCTAAGGACACAGGGGCACAAGGCGCTATTAAGAAAAGTAAAATGAAGTCCAAAATTTTGACAAACAAATTGTAAAATATAAGAACCAGTTGACAATGTCCTCTCTTTGCATGGGATATGGAAAGAGTGTAAGAGAAGTATGAGGTAGGGCTGTGAATTCACTTGCATATACTTGGGTTTTATAGTTAGGGATGGCAATACGGTAGGATGTAATCTATGCAGCCCTGTTCGTCTACCACCCTGCTTGGGGATTTTTAGACCTCAGGATGAGGAGTATGTTTCATGTCCCTACCCTGATTTCTCAATATTACAAAGAACTTCTTATCCCATTTAGGGTAAGGCTACGTCTGTCGGGTTAGGATCAAGGTACTTTGAGATCTGTTTATATAGACAAAAATGTTCAATCCTAAAAGTATTTTTACTTAAATAAAAGGTTGAAGACCCAATAAAAAAAAAGTTGAATACAAGATATAATTTACACAGGTTGAGAACCATGCTAAATTTTGCTCATCCCAATTTTCAGACTAATCAACGAGTCGCATCCCATTCGGGGTAGGGTGGATGGGGAATGAGGTATTTTGACATCCTTACTTATAAGCGGAACGTTAATAAAAAAGGAAATGACAATTGTATCGGGGGGTTGACAATCCCCTTGACCGTTGTCAACCCCTCGGTAACCATTGCAAAACTCTAATAAAAAATAATACCACGCCTTCATTTGACAAGCCACTCTAAACTTTATTTTAAATTATACATTTTATGAAAATGACAATTTTTATTCTATTTTTTTAACTCAATATTCTTTCATGTTTCATGCATATTCTTAAGGAAAAATGCATTTGAAATAGTGATGTGATGGAAAATATGTGGTTATAAAAAGAATTTTTTTTTATTTGCGTATAATATTATTTTATTAAAAAATGTGTAATTGAAAATTAGCATCAAAAAGAACGAATTGTTGTTTGGAATGTGGATCAAAAGGGGCTAATAATGACAACTTGTAAATACTTAAAACTTCAGCGAGCAAGCTGTAAGATTAAGGACCAAAACCTTGCCAGCTTTTCAAGCTTAGCGAACCCTGCCCGGAATCCCTCTCTCCCTCCCCTCTCTTTCTATCGCAAATTCGGTTCTTTCTGTAAAATCTGAAGCTCCACCATTACCTATACACACATCACAGACAAAGGTATTATGCTTATGTAATCTTGTTCTTACATCGTTTTTCTGCTTCTTTTTATCTGTTATGTACCTTGATAGTATTTAAGAAATACACTAGGGTTTGCACCAAATTACTTACAAGGCATTATTAACTTGTTCATATTTTATTTTGCTCTGTTTTTTTATTGGTGATGATCGTCTGTGACTCTGTGTTAAAGGAAATAGAAGGAAAAAGTCGAAAAGATTGACTCATGGATTCTTCAGCTACTGAGGCATTTCCCCAAATTCAGGTACGAATGAACTTTTTAATATTTATATATGTATGTATCCGGCAAATTTTGGCTCTGTATTGCTTTGCTAACTTGATGTCATTGTGGATTTGAATCTATTCATTCTTGAAACACTATATTTACTGGGACTAAAGGTTGGCTATGTCAACATTTTCTTTGACTGCAATAGGATGGCGGAATCTATTCATTCTTGAAACACTATATTTACTGGGACTAAAGGTTGGCTATGTCAACATTTTCTTTGACTGCAATAGGATGGCGGAATCTCTCTTAAATGATGCATTTCAGTATAAATCCCTTTTCTGGGAGTTTTTCCCACTTATGTAGCTTGCTTTTAGTATCAAAAGTTTTCAAGCATGAAACAGTCAGTGTACAGTGCAAAAAATTAATAGAACTAATTTGCCTCGATAAATATTACTCTGAGGGAAAAACATATAGGTGATGCATGCTCGGTTGTCGTAGAATTTGTTTGTTACTTCTATGAAGTTTCATATTATGAGCTATACAATCTAGGTATATTAAAAATATACTGTTAATTTCTAATGCTAGTTGCAGTTAAAGTTTTTGATGCATATAGTGATATAGATAAATGTAGGTCCATTTTCATGAGATAGGGGACGAAGTTAGTTTTAATTAGATATGAAGATAGTTTTCTGGTATGAGTTGGAAAAACTCATGTTTGATTAGAGATGATGTTGGGTTAAGATAAGTGTACGTTTGTCAAAGCTTAAACTAGATATTTAAGCCGGTCAAATCTATTTTATATGCATACATTTCGTAAGGCTCATAGTTTAACCTACTTATTATCCACACATTCTGCAAGATCCACAGCTTATAAGCATTGCAAAACAAGTACTAAGTGTATTAGTGGGATATGAGGAGTTGGCGTCGCTATCTGAATTTTATTTCCTGTTTTCTCAATTCTAATGAATTAAATATTAGTGTAAATATTGGGTTGAAATGGTCTGTTGTGCAATTTGCTCGAGTTTTCAGTCCACGATGGAATTTGGATATTTGGGATCATGGTCAACTTTCAACTTTGAGTAGCATGAGGAAATGATCTAGTTTCTAGATTTAAGCTATTTATCCAGTCCTCAATCTTCATTGGGGCTTCAATATTATCGAGTTGGCTACTAAGAATTCAGTCTGCGGTGGCTTGATAGATTTGGAGCGGCAATTAGAGTTTGACAATATTGGAAGAGATGTGAGAATCTTTGTAAAGTAAAACACTAAGTACTGTGGAAAGATATTTTGTAGGATCTATTTTCTTGTCCTGTGATTTTTGGGGGGAATATACTGACATGCTTTTGGTTAGAGAGATTGTTTGAAGAAGATTGGAGGAAATTCGATTTTTTAGATGGCTCCCATATCACTTTGCTTTTGCTTTTTCTACACAAGGGTGAACTGTGGTGAGGAGAACTAATTTGTCTAGGTCAGTAGGCTGTCTTCGCACAATTAATCTTATGATTCTATAGGTTTTTGACCAAGATTCTTACTAGACTGGGCTTTGTTCTTAATGGTACTATCTCCCTTGTCAGATTTTTTAGCGGAAGGGAGATAGATATTTGATACAGTTTTTGTTGGTAATGAGGTGGTGATGATGTCATGTAGTTAGGGAAGGAGTTAGCCATAAACTCGATTTTCAGAAAACCTGATGTAGGCTAAACTGCACATTTTTTGATAGAGTATCGGGTTTTATGGGCTTTGAAGAGAATGGATTTGGGGTGACTTCAGTTCATCATTCTATTGAAATCTGATGAAGACAATTGTGAAATTTTATTCAGTTCTTCAAAAACTTCTGGCATGCTCCTCTTTTATTACTTCAATATTCAATTTTTTAAAAGGATGCTTATGGAGGGGAGGTGATGGATGCCAATAGAGTGTTGGTTGTGGCATTTTTATTCTTCCTTGCTTTTGAGGAATGAGGATGTTTGATGAACAGAATTATCTCTGGTTCTTTTTTTTTTTTTAACTTTATATTGACCCTTGTGGAAAAACACTTCAACAGGATTATATACCTTTTATGGTAAATTGATAATGGGGAATTATTTAGGATTTTCTTGGGTTAATTAAATGATAGAGGTGGCAATTGAGTTTTAAAAGTCATGTTCTTATTGATAAATCCATGTACTTTACAAGAGATTAGATTTTATTATATGGAGACATCAGGTGATATAGCTTGTAAAACCCTTCTTATGTTCCCTATTGACGATAATATTCACCTCTTGTTTTTGCTTCATTAAGCTAGAATACACTGTCAAATAGTAATACAACTGTCTAAGAAATCCAAGGGGTATCATGATATTTTGCCTCTGTCAGGCACAACGAAATCCTCAAGATGCTTTGAAGAGATACTAATAAATTAATTAAGAACATTATAATATATAATTATTCTAATAATGACCGGAAACCATCTCAAGATCCATAATAGAACATGTCAACAAGATTAAGTCTTTTGCGACTAGAAACATAAATAGTATAAATTAATAAAGCTGTAATCATGTAACAAGACCACTAATTCAAACTAGAACTAACACTCCAAACGAAATGAAACAATTGACCAACTTTTCAAGATTTTTATTTGCTTCGACTTTAAAATGAAATAAAACTCAAGATAGAAGAAGAAGAAGAAGACAAATTCAGAGACAAAAGCAAGTAAAATATAAAAAAGAAGAATGAATATGCATGCTGTTAGTCATTTGCTGCCATAACCCGAAGCGTAAGTCAAGGCATGTGTCTCACTAAGAAAAGTCGTAAGCCTTGTCGAACGGCATTCATAGCATAATCTCTGAGTTTTCAATAAGCACCTCGTACAAGGCGTAAGCCTCATGCCCTTTCGAAAATGATATTCTTTACTTATTTTGAAGTAAGACACTGTCTAGTTGCAACTTGCAAGTGCAAAGACCTATCAAGCTGTCTTCTTCTGATAAGTGCTTCACTACAAGATTCATGATCACGTATTTGTCCTATAGAGAAGAATGTTTCCTATTGCTTGGACATTCATTGTTGTTTAGACTTGCCATATAAGTTTGGCAAATTTGGCTCGTTACTTGTTAGTAGGAGAAAGTATATAGGATTTCACTTACCTTTTTTGGTATTGTGTGTGTGTGTTGTTTGGGGGGTATGAAAAGTTCTTATATCCTTATTTATTTTTTCAACGTAAGATCTGTTCTATTCCTAAGATTCGGAGAGCCTGTGATTATATAACAGTCTGTTCTTCCATTGAACAGGAAATATTACTGGAGTTTCATGCAGGGAAAATGCTTTTGGAGGGAAACCGTGTTATCCCTGATTCTCGTAAAGGACTTGTTCGAATAGGAAGGGTATGAGTGATTACAGCAAATTTGTCTATGTTAATTTTGTCCTCTTGTTCACATTTAATTTTTTTGGTGTTCTCCCTAAAAGTTTCAAAGTTTCTTATTTTGTGGTGTAGTTTAATTCCTGTTATAATTGTTAAATTCACATCCTTTGAGTGGACGTGTCTTTCTGTTTTTGATAGGGTGAAGAAGGGCTAATCCATTTTCAGTGGCTGGATCGATCTTTGCACATTGTTGAAGATGTATCCTATGTCACATCTTTATTAGTTTGAGGAACACCTTATGCTTTCTTTTTTCCCATTCTGATATTACTACTTTTATCTACTCTCAAATTGCTGCAACTTATTTCTTAACATACGCTGTATACAGGACCAAATTATCTTTCCAGATGAAGCAATTTTTGAAAAGGTACATTTTTTTTTTGCCTTTATCGGTATTCCTTTAAGATTTTTCTCTCTTTTCACATTTATGGTACTTTCAGCTGATTTTTGAGTTATCTATATTGTTCAGGTGAATCAATCTTCTGGAAGGGTTTACATCCTGAAGTTTCATACGGATGACAGGAAGTTCTTCTTTTGGATGCAGGTCAGGTCTATGGTGTGTCTTTTGGCCATATGCAAATGGTCTGAGATGCTAACACTTTGTTACTTTTGTTGGTTCTAGGAAACCAAATCTGAAATTGATACACAGTTATGTACCTCCGTCAATTTGTACCTGAATCAGCCTCTAGGTATTCAAGAACTCATCTACAATCTGGAAAGTCTGCTTTGTTTTTTTTTTTTTTTCTATAACTTCGCAAACGTGTTTTATTTCTGCCTGTTGCATTATTATGCACATTGGAAAAATATAAGGGTGCGTGGAATTTGCATTTTAAAAAAAATAAATGCTAGTCAATTCAATTGCCTAGAACTTATCTGTACGGAAATTATTAATTAAATGTGTTTGATTGATTTAGTTTTCAATCTAGAAAATATTATAATTGTCTATTTTTTATTGGTGGGTAGATGAGAGAGGGGATAGATAAGAGAGAGAAAGAGAGAGTGAATTCCCTGGAAAATAAAATCTTACTCCTAAAGAAAATATTATCTTTGATTTTGAAAAAAATATGGTCATGTAACCAAAAGTAGGAAAATGTTTTCCATGGGAAAAAATGTTAATCAAATAGCACAAAAGTGGGAATTTGGGTGGAAAAACACATTTTCCATGGAAAATATTGGGAACGCACCCTAAAAGTTGGGCAATTGGTAATGGACCTATTTCAGATAGAGTCGAATATGGATTTGGAATAGCTTATATTGCATTGGACCATCTATTACAGTAAATATATCATGACAGGGTAAGAAAACCATTTACCATTTCCCCATCCCCCAAACTAGGAGATTCATCAAATCCAGATTCTTGACATGTACCCACATCAGTCACCTGTACATGATTTTAAGGTGTTGTAATTAACTTTTAATTTCTTAGCTCTTTGATATTTTATTGATTTGGCATTTTTCTACCAACTTGGATGCGATTTGGATTTGGTGGTTATTAGAGTTAAGTGATGAAGAGGAGCCCGACGCTTCAGTCCCTGCACCGATTTCTGAAGATATGGTGGAAGAAGATATTTCATCAAGGTAATGTCGAAGAAATAGATAAGCTTGTTGATGAGCGTGGATATGATTTGGAAGAGTGAACTTGTGATACTTTTTATGTGTAATGCTAAATCTTGTATTCATGATAATTTATGAATACTTCTTTTTTCTGTATTTTCCTTTTATGTTGATTACAACTTTAGATGACATTGCAGAAAAAATCTGAAGATACCTCTCTGCTAATTTAATGAATCTCCCTCTCCCTCTCCCTCTCCCCCTCCCCCTCCCCCTCCCCCTCCCCCTAACACACCCAACCAAGAAAAGAAATTGATTGGTTGAGTAATGAAAAAGAAGGGGAAAAAAATAGTTCCAGTACCACCATAAGACCTCAACAAAGGATGCTGTGATATAGTGGCTGTTTCTACTTTCATAGGGCTGGTAATTTGGTGGGCTCTGGCATGGGTGCTGAAGGAACTAGTGAAGTAACCTCTTCCGGACCAGTAAAGTTGGCAGATCTGCAGAGAATATTAAGTAACATAGGGTCAGCAGGTATTTGCATCTCTTGTGAGAACAAGCTGCTGCCTGTACTCTTGCTTTCAATTTTGTCTCAGCTGATGAAATGCATTATTTCTTCGTTGTTAACGTAGATGAAGCAGGAGATCCAGAGGCAGGTACCTTCGGGATTCATTCTAAACTTTCCATAACATTGGTCTGCAAGTTACCATATCACAACTGCATTTGCAGTGTGTTTTATCAACTTTCCCTTTGACAGATACCTTATAGCATAAAAATGTTGTCAATTATGTCTAGCATCTATTAGGTTTGGCTGATTGTTAAGAGTTGCATGTTAATGCACATGTATTATTGAAGGTCTAGAAAATTTTCTTCAGACATCAAGATATCAGAGTTTCAATAAATTTTCTCATTTACTCAATTTTATGAAGGTCCTGTTTGTTTACCAATATGTTCTATCATCTCCTATTTTGTGCTCACTGAATTTCTGCCATTCATGCTGTGGGAAATTTTGTTTGGACGAATCTTACATCTCTTTAAGGATATAAATAATGGAACTATGCATATAAGGATTCTACTGATTACATTCCTCTGAGATTTCACCATACACCATCCAACTTTGGTTGGTTTGATGATTATGGGTTTTCTCTTCTACTGAAAATTGTTGACATTTCCTGGTTTTCTAGGCTTGGGATTAGGTGATATTTTGAAGCCAGAGTTTATATTGCCACTTATTGATGAACTTCCATTGGAACAACAATTGGCGCCATACTTACCTGAGGTAAAAATTTGACATTCATGTATCTCCAAAGTAGTAGCTTTTTTACATCTCTTCCAATTCGTGAGATTCTTGTGAGGTTGCAGGGTCAATGGACTTTGGAGGAGTTAATAGAATTGCTACAGAGCCCTCCATTCCGCCAACAATTAGATTCATTTACATATGTGAGGCCTCAACACCTCTGATTCTTTGTTAAGATTTTATTTTGGGCTTTATTCTTTGGTGTTTGTCGATAAATTGCAAGTATTCCTTTTATTATAGGTGCTGCGAACTGGGCAGGTAGATCTGACTCAGTTTGGAATCGATCCAAGCAAATGTAAGTGATGTGGAATTTTAACTTACCCATGGGGTGCATAACTGTGNCCCCCCCCCCCCCACCACCACCACCACCACCCCACCCCAAGTTTCTTTCGGGCCCTTTATTTTTGAGAGTGAACTTTTCTCCATATGCTTGTCCTTGATGAACAACTCTGTATATCCATGTTCTAACACTTGCCCTTCAATTCTTTAGATAATATAGTATACTTCTAATGTCCTAAGAACATTGTTGATTTGTTGGTTTAATGGCACCTGAGTTGCGAGGATTTTGTCTCTGTGGGGCACAGCTTTAAAACATTAATTTCGTGCTAGTAATACAACAAAGTCCATTTACTTGGAATTCCACTAAGATCATCCCGGGATTTGTATACTGCTGTTTTCAAATTTATTGCAGCTGAAGTATGGTTGATTGACTTTGTTACTTTTGCTTATTGCAGACAAGTTCACCGTGCCTTCATTTCTTGAGGCACTTGAAGATTCTGTTTCCGATGAGTCAGGTCAATTGGGCAGTGATTTAAGATCTCAGACATGCAACCGTGGTGATCCAGTGGATGAAGGCCAATAGTACAAAACCAGTTCGATATGTCTATCATTTCTTACAATGGAAAATAGACCACAGAGTTTGTTTTCTTTATTTTATCGTGTGATACCTATATTGCAAAAACCATTGTTGGAGTTATTAGTTTATCGAGAAATTGTTTTATTTTTCAATCACCAAGATTGAAGATTTGCGTTATTGAAACAAGTGTTACAACAACTTATGAAAAATTATAAAAATGAAGCCGTGACTATGTGATTAAGGGGTAATTATGCTACAAAAGTCACAGGAAAAATTGTCTTTTGGGGAGATGGTTGATAGCCCGTCTTGAAAAGCGGTATAGTTTTGATGGGAAAAGTATTGGATTATTATTGATTGATTATGAGTATGAGATATTTGAAAACATTCTAAGTAACTAGAGAATTTTTGTGTCGGTGGTATTGCTAGTTTGTAAGAGGCTAGAAATATATATTCACTTGTATTGGAAGAATTACATTTATACACAATGTATTGAATTAGAGTTCCACGCATGGGCAAAGATGAGGTTAGTGATTCAAGATTAATATTTTCTAGCGGGAAGAAAATGATTCAACTGTGGCTCGATTTATTCACGTGGGACCATCAGAAAAGAAATGTCTGCCTGCTATAATACAAGAAAACGAGAGATGATAACGTAAGCAACATAATGTGCACAAAGATGGTAGTCGATACTTAGCATCGAAAGGGATCAATTGTAGCATGGCACTATTAGATTTGCTCACCAAAAATTTACTACAGGCTGAAGCTTTCAAGAATCTCAAGTTCTGAACATAGTATTGCAAAGAAAAAGGAACAATTGGACAAGAAAACATGTATTCACTTGTTTTGCAGATGTTGCACAATTCGTAGTGTTCCTTAGTCGCAGACTTCAATTTGCAGTGGAGGGCATGTCTAGAAGATCATGCGGAGGGCTGTAAAGATCGTGCTCCATTGGAGGCGCACTTTTGCTCCTTCCGTTGGCCAGTTTATGCTTTCGGGCATCATTATCACTTTTGATGGGATCTCTCTTCTTTTCCTCTGGAGTGTCGGGAAGGATTTTGGGAACTTCGTAAAGGGTTACACATCCGCCACTGCTCTGCATAATTGCCTTGTCTCGGCTCCCTATTTGTGGTAGAAGGGTTTCGAGTATTTCAACTACTTGACTCATTACAGGCCTTCCTTTTGGATTTTGGCTGAGACATTGGTATACAAGATTGGCCACTTTCATAAGAATTTTAGTTGAGTATTGCCCTTCAATTCTTGGATCCAGTATTCTCAAGAGCTTCTTACTCTGGGTTAGTAGTGGTCGAGCCCACTCGACAAGGTTATGCTCTCGACTAGGCCTGCTCTTATCCATTGCTCGCCTTCCAATCAGCATCTCAAGTAAAACAACTCCAAAACCATAAACATCACTTCTAGCAGTTAAATGTCCTGATCCATCATATTACCACAATACATTTGCAAGTCATAATGGCATTTCAGCTACTATAGTTAGAGAATTAAACATCAAAAAAACCAAAGCAAAGAAAATCACAGGACAATAGGTTTATAAAGTGATTTCTTGAATCCGCTTATTTTCACAAAAATAACAAACAGCACACCCAAAATATAGCATCTTATCAGAAAAATTGGAAGTCGAGACTGTTGCTTACAATGAAAAGAATAACTGGACGAAAAGCAGTCTTTCACAATTAAATTCCACAGTTCATATTTTTCTACCAATATATCTTTCTAGTATCCTATATTATAGCGATTCTGAATTCCAGAGCCAAGTAATGGTCAACTCAAATAAAACATCAACTTCCAAGGTTTCTGCAAAACTTAACGTAAGCGAACAGTAATACTAATACCGTACAGGCTCAAATGTACCCTTATTTGCTATGCCAAAAGAAGTAGATTATATCAGAATGGTGATGGTATTTCATATTTGGTTGCAATTTGATATTAAAAGAGTGTTATGCCAAAAAGAATACGAGGTTTCTGAGTAGAAATTTTAGTTGCAGTCAGCTAAAAGACTCACCGGTCATGACGTACTCAGGAGCGGCATAACCATAAGTACCCATAACCCGAGTTGACACATGAGTTTGATCTCCAGTAGGCCCAACCCTTGCCAGTCCAAAATCAGAAAGTTTTGCATTAAAATCCTGCAGGTTTTCCAACGAATTCAGCACTAGAAAGATTCATGGAGGCTTCAATAAAAATTCTAGAGGACCAAAGGAATCTCATAACCATATATATTTCAATGCATTAACTTATATAAACACATGGCATTGTCAATTTCGTTTGAACTAATATCTTTATTTATTACTCCCTCCGTCCCAATTATATAGGCTTGTTTCGTTTTTCACACAGATTAAAAAAACTTCTTTAACATCATTGGAAAATTAATTTTTGTCAAGAACTTTCCTAATTTACCCCTATTTAATTTTCAGTATGTAAAACTAAATTATTGTTGGAATTAATAAAAAATTTGAAGAAGAAGAAATGAGAGTTATTCCATGTTTCCAAAAAGTGGGAAATGTGTGTATTTGCATGATTTCAAGAAATTGGCATATTAAGTGAGGAAAATTTAATAAGGGTATATTGGTAAATGAACACAACAAAATATTTTATATTAAGAAACATGCATATATATTTGGGACAATAGAAAAATGAAACTCAGCCTATATAATTGGGACGGAGGGAGTATCAAATATGAATTGAATGTAATAACGAAGATATCAGAGATGACCTGAAAAAAATTTAAGAGAGAGCGATGATGGAAGCATATACCAATTATTCAATCATCTCATTATTGCGGGGAATCTTCCCAGATCAAATTAATCAAGTAGAAGTACTGTTTGAAAGAAGTTTTAAATTTCCTTTATACTTTATTTTTTTTTTTTTGAATAAGAGGTATTTACTATAGAAGCACAACCAAGTTGATTCCCTTATAAACAGTACAACAATTTCAGAACTGAAAGCATTTGATTAACCTTGTCCAGTAAAATGTTTGAAGTCTTAAAATCCCTATAAATAATAGGTTTTTCCACAGCATGAAGACAAGCAAGCCCTCTTGCAGCATCCAAAGCAATCTTCATTCTCATATGCCATGTTAAAGTGGCACGCACTCCTACAAGCATAAAACAAACAATACAGTTTATTAAGATGAAGCTAGTGGATAAAGGAGACTAGTTTAACAAGGCAAAAAAAAAAAAAAAAGAATAGTACAGATAAATAGTCAATTTATTAGGCTAAATTCCGCAAAAGAAAAGAACTGCTTGCATAACATTTTACCTCTAACATGACATTTTTATTTTTATTTGCACTCTGAACTTGTATCATTCAAAGATAAATAAGTAATGCTATAAGAAACTATGAATAAGTTATAAAAGGATAGTCACACACAGTATGAATTCTCTATTTCTTGTTCAGATGACATGATTTTACTACTCACTTAAAAAGAGATGTTTCTCCAAGTTCCCAGAAGCCATATATTCATAGACCAACAGTCTATGGTCACCCTCACAGCAATACCCAATCAGTTTCACCAGGTTAGGGTGGCGAAGTTGCCCTAAATAATTGACTTCTGCCTGCATGTAAAAACCTCAACGGTGAGAAACAGACGACCCTTTCTTAACTAAAGCACAGGGAAGTTATCGTGGATAGTAACAAATAAAAGATTATCACAAGGAAGTCTTAAAATTATAGACATGTGCCGCAATTATCCAATTTCCTTTCTAAACAGTTATGTACAACCCTCAAGCATTGCATACTGGCTAATATACACGGCAATATATTATGCACCTTAAACTTCAGAATTTATCAGAGTACAAGAAATGGTGTGGATAGCGATCTCGAGTGGAGAATCTACAGGGCAACCGTAGACTACCAGCTCAGAAAAATAAGAAGATGATGATAAATCTAAGCTTACAACAGGAACTGACAAGAAAATAATGTGATAAAGCAGGAAGACAAAAGTTCGGTTATGCACCCCAAGTGGTGTGAACCTTTTCATACATAAAGTTTATGCAGCCTACCGCCTCATGTCCTCAACAGGGAACAAAAATAAAATAGAGAAGATTTCACAAATCCTACATTCTCAGCAGTTTGTTCATCATCAAACTTAGCAATGATATGCTCAATTCTATGTATACCACATTTCAAGAATGCTGTTAATTAATAACTATTGGTCCGATCTGCACATCTTTACTTGTATTCTTAGAAATGTGTGGGAGGTAGGATATGTGAAGAATTACGAGCGGAAAAAAGATTTCAGGAGGGGAAGATATCTCAATCCTTTATTTATTAAGTAGGGAACAAGTATATAAAAGAAAAGTGAGATAGTGTCGATCTCTCGTCTTATATTTACAATCCACTATATTTTAGATGAGTTGACAGGAAGATTGTTCATACACAACTACCAAAACATACCCAAAGTTTACAATATTTAATAATACACAGGTAAATAAGTAGGGTAACGAAGACACACTGAGAATGGTATTAGCCATGCCATTATATTTGTCCTTAGCCCATTCATATGAGCTAATTACCATGTTAAACATTTGGAAGGCAGCATTCAAAAATGAACTAGTAGGCCTTCAATCTTCTTAACAATATACGATTAGTCAATTTCTCACTCAGAAAAAGAATGGAGAATTCATTTACTGCTAGCAAACTGCTTCCTCTTTGTTGAAAATTTCATTCAAGTCGCATGTTTATTGAAGAACAAAAGAAAGAATTAATTCAGCTAAATATAATTTGTGTACTTGTGTCTCTAGCTAAATTCAGATAGGTGGAAAACGATTAAATTCCACAAAAAATGAGATAATAATAAAATTCAATAGAATAAATTATCCAGCGGTTAAACATTATCAAAGTTAATGTTATTATTATCTTGACTTAATCTCCATTTTCTCTTGAAACATATGGAATCAAAGAGATGAATAAATGCGGCAGGTAAAATTTGGTGAGGAAGAACATTAGAACCCAAGAGAAGCTAAGGGAAAATCCATGAATTGGAAGCCCTAAATGGCCTAAAGTTTTTGAGTAACCAGCACAACAAAAGGATTACCCTGAAATGGGGCAGTTGACAAGACATAGTGAACCTGAATTAACAATTTTCAAAAAACAAGACTATGTCTTTGGAACCAACAGAATCAAATTTACAAATTATACTGTTACAGATGCAATTCTAGTTGACGGTCAAAAATTCACTCCATTTCATTTCCATTTTCAACAAATTCCATGAATACAAAATATTCACCTTTCTAACTCTATTATTGAAGGACAACTGAAATGCCACTTGTAAGAAATCAATTAATTTGATCAAGAAAGTCCAAGCAAATTACCAGCCATTCTCGGTCCCCTTGTAGACCTTCAGGGTCAAGCTCTTTGATGGCAACTTGTGTTGTCTCGTAACCAGGCCTCACATTCTCATCTATAACTCCTTTATAGACTATACCAAACCCACCCTCACCAAGAACCTGATTTGGTCGGAAGTGATTGGTAGCCAACTTCATCTCTTCATATGTGAAGATATCAAGGTTACTATTCCCAGGATTTTGACGTAGATCCTTCACATTTTTGGGAATTACCACAATACTCTTTTCAATTTTTTGTAATTCTGGTGTATCTGGTTTATTAACAAGCACAGAGTCCCCTTTGGCAGAAGATGCAGCAGTTCCACATACAGCAGAAAATATTTAAAAAAAAGTCAGCACTTGAATTTCCTAGGTAGAATTAGCACTAATGTTATTGAGGTAAAAACCATATATGTGTATGAAAGCATACAAACACAATGATCTAGATCTAGAGATATTTCAACAAAAGCCACAACTCTCCGTGATTATGACTTCTTAAAGGACGAAGATGAAGATGAAGATGAAGATGATGTTGTTATCGACAAATGATACAATCTAAGGGATACTTCAGTGAAAACTTGTGCAAAGAAAAAAATTAAGTCTTTTTTCCCTCATTCCATTTCCCTATATGAAATAGTTAATAAGATCTAATTTGCATTTTCCAAATATACAACCAACTGTAAATCAAAATAAGATCCAATAAGATTCAACAGATATCTCAATAACACAAAAAACTTCTCCAATGAATCATATGACAATGCCATTAAATCCATTCACTATTTCAGTTTAGGAATCCTTGAACTTGCCCAAATTACACAAATCATTACTCTCTACTTCACTAAATTATAAGAAATTAATTTTTCACAATTACAATATTCTAACCAAATTTGGACAACTGAAACAAAATCTTATAAACAGAAGAGTACCTGGCTTATTACTTAGAGATTTGTTCTTGGACTGTTGCGGTTCTTCTTCAACGCTGAAACAGGACCCCATTTTCTTGAATTTATCAAATTCACTGGATTCACATTTCAAAATCCATAATTTTTTACATAAATAAAGAAAGTTTCGATTTTTATGACACGGGTTTACTTCATTTCTTTGATTAAAAAAGCTGTAATCGTATCTGGGAAATTCAATGAGTGGCCGGAGTAGGAAGATTTCACCCGAATATGATTTGGGTAGCCCGGAATATGCCCGGATTATGAGTAGACTACAGTTTTACTAATCGATAATGAAGAGTGAGACGCTGACTGCAAACTCTGTGTGCGTGTGCGGGTGAGGGATAGTATAGATTGTAACTTTTTTAAAGAAATGTTTCTAATATTTTTCATTTATTTTATACTTTTTTTAAATTACATTAAATATTCTCAATCTCGACTTATTATTGCACTTATTTTAATTTTTTTTTTTTCAAAAAAAAAAAAAATGCTTTGAAATGTGGAGTAAATGTTTTGTGCAAAGGTGTCGTTCTTTTACTTATTTACCATGTTTGACCGTCTTTTTCAAAAAGTTTATAGAGTTTTGAACAATAATTTTTGAAAAATGTGTAGTTAAAAAGTATATAAAAATTTTGAGTTTACGTACAAAATATTTTGTTGTATAAATATATGATTGAAAATGAGTATGAGCCAAAACGAGTTCGCTAAAAAATAGTGTCAAACTAGGATTTAAAAATATGATAGATAAATAAGTCTTCTACTTGTCTAAAATTGACGATCAAGACAAGATGTGTCAACTAATTATGAAAATGTTAAGAACAAAAATGAGAAAAAAAAAAAAAAAAAGTTAAAAGCCATAAATACAACAATAAAAAAGTGTAGAAACTTTAATATAAAACAAAATTAGTGCCAATATAAACTCCTAAAATAAATGATTGGTAGATAAATTTTTTTGAGTAATGCTACAGTGAAAATTATTTGGTAGTTTTTATACATGACATATACGTGGTGATTCATGATTTGATGCACAAGTCAATAAAAAATTACCATATTAATGTATCAAATCACAAACCGCTACATATATATTACGTAAGAAGGCTACCAATACTTTTTATTGTGAATAACATTATTCAAATTTTTTTTGGCTTTTCTTGGTCTTGTGTTTGTAACACATTCAAGAAAAGAAAAGAAGCAACTTTGGACTTTTGAGTGTTTTTATACTACTACTATTATTATTATTTCATTAAGTACTTACTCTTTTGCTTTTGACTTGTCTAAGATTTATAGAATTATATTATAAAAAATGGATACATATTTTTCATTTTGAAGACTGTATCTCTTTAGTTTTAAATGCTACAATAGTTTTAGTTTTCATATAAATAAGGAGAATATAAACAAATAAATGAAGGTGATATTGTCTAAAATAATGATTTAGAACATTTTCAATAGACTCTCTATTTTCAAATGGCATATTCTATCATTTGAAGAGCATCTATAAATTTAGAGAGTTAAAATTTTGAAATACTCCAACAAGTTTTTTATATTTAATATTTAATTTTACTACTACCAAAAAATATTTAGGATGTGTTTGATCTATATTATTTTGGAATGAGAAAAGCCTCTTGTACAGAAGCTACATGAGAGAAGCCATACATAAATTTAAAATTCATTGACTTTGGGGATGGTGCACTCAAAAAAGCTTCTAAAATAAGAGGGAAAATTACTGGAAGTGACTAAAAGAGGGAAAATTGACTGAAAGCTAACCATTTCTCTTTTCTTCTTCACATTGAACCCGTTGAATCCCTTGTCTTATTGTACATTTTCCCTGCCTATCTTCGCGAATCTAAAGTCACTACTGCCGGCAAAGCTAAAAACTCACCCGCAATAAAGATGGTGATGCCCAACTAGGGATGGCAACAGAACGATTCGGTTCGGCCAAAACCTTAACCGCACCACCAAATTTTTGGTCATACTATAATCGCACCATAACCACGAAAGTTGGTTCGGTTCGATTCGGTTAATAACCACAAAAATAAATTATTTTTTATAAGTCCAAACTCCTCCGTTAAATTGAAAAAAAATTATAAAGCGAAGTCAATAAAAATAAAAACACAATAATAAGTCAATTTAACAAACAATATCCCAACTTTCAAATGCAAAATTCGAATTTAACAAACAATATTTTCAACATAAGTGAAGACTCTTACTAGCATGGGTCAATCTTCATTCTTCCCCACAACTCTTATTAGCACAGGTCAAGACTCAAAGTTGATTCTTATATAGTAAATAAGAAATGTAATTAGAGTAATAATACAATCATACTACTTAATCAAGAATGATCTTAACTAAAGATTTAAACAAAAAAATTTACATTTTCGTCAATGTCCTCCTCGTTAAACATTGCACAAGCTCCGGAGTATGATGAAGAAGCAGAATTTTCTACATACAATAGAGAAAAAAATTAGTAATAAAAGAAGGTGTATAAATAACAAATATAAAACAATAAATCATACCATGAATATCAGTCCTAAGCCAATCCCAAGCACATATTAAAGTTTCTAAAGTCTTCGGGTGAAGCCTCTTTCTATGCGGACTCACAAATCCACCACTTGTACTAAACGCTGACTCAGATGCCACAGTAGATATAGTGAATGACTAATAAATTTCTAGCAATCTTTTGTAAAGTCGAATATTTTATTGAACTTGTCAATAAATCAAAACCATCCACCCTTGGCGATACTAGCTCGTTTAGAAAAACATCAAGTTCTGTTTTTACATGATTAACGGTAACAGAATGGCTAACAAATCTATCAAAACTAGCCATGCGAGAATGCTTTCCAACAGTAGTAGACGACTCTGATTGCGAAGATAAAGAAGATTGAGATGTATATACAGAAACACCCAAATTGGGAAACTGCAATTCTATACACCCAGATTTCATCTTAATACTATTGCACTTGGGAAACTGGCTTTGGACAGAGTGAATAAAAATACACCCAAGAATAACTCAGCATGATAGTTGACTGCCTTCCACAATGACAAGACAAATCCAAGTAAATGCACAAAGAAACATTTTATGAATTAAATAGATGCCCATTATAAAAATTTCTGGAAATATAATAGCAAATGTGATTCTTTAACATATCAAAATCCAAGCTGCAAGAATCTTTGGACTTCAATATGAAGCATCGAACTACAACAGACATCAACAATAAGAAAGCAGATATACAATGGAGGTAAAGAAAGCAAGCTAAAAGAACATAAACCTAAAAATATCTCACATTCTTCATTGGACGCCGGACGGGTGGATGCAGATGGGGATTGTAAAATCGCTGCCGTCTCTGGATTGCCTCACTCACCACCTCTGTGGAGCAGATCAGTGGAGGAAAGTTTTAGGTTAATTTTGATTCGTGTTGAGTGTTGACGGAAGTGTTAGGACATTAGGTTAATTTAAAATTATTAAAAAAAAAAAAAGTTGGGCCTCAAAAATTATGGGTGTGAGGCCCTGAGGCGGTGGCCTTATGGGTAATGGTTACTGGGCTCAATTTTTTAATTGGGTTTATCCAAAAAAAAAAAAATTAAAATTGTCCAATTAAATTTATTTTTTTTAGCGGGTAATTGGTTCGGTTCAGTTCGGGGTGGGACATCATTGTTAAATACCATACCCGCCCCACCACGAATCGGGTCATTAAAATCAAAATCATAGCCACCCTATTGTACCATTGGTTTGAGCTTTTTCGCCCCATTCGGTTCAGTTAACCGCGGTTTTCGATTTTCACATTTCCAATTGCCATCCCTATGCCCAACTCCGTCGACGACGAAATCGGCACTTCACTAACTTTGGGAAACCCATGTGAGCCAAACTGCTATTGTTCTAAATATAATGCTGAAATTTTATTTCCGTGATTTTGTTCATTTTTTACTGTGAAAATCTTGTCTCTTTCCTTCAACTTCGTATGGAACTCCAGCAACTGTAAAAAATAGTGATAATTTCATGTGAATGACTTACATCTCAAGACTTGTAAATGGCTTCCTTGACAAGTGTTGAGCTCTAATAATTTTATACTAATCACTTACATCCTCAAGACTTGTAAATGACTTCCTTTGGTGAAATTATAGTTGTAACTGGTTTGCTGAACTAGCTTCTGTATTGTGTTGCTGTACAAATTTCTATGGAAGACGTACGTGAAGAATTTGTGGTGGAGAAAATATGTATAGCAATACTCAATCGTTGAAAATACAATCTATAGCATCAATACTTTCTAGCTATGAGGGACATTTTTCTTTATGTCGCGACTCTGAGGGTAAAATTCATTACAGTGTCATTATTGTGACATTAGCTATGAGGGTGAAGAAATATCATCTTGCCGAAATTAAAAATCAAATATCTCAATGTAAGAAAGTTCTTGACAATGTTCAGCTGAAATCCAAGGAATTATTAGGAATATATCTCAAAAGAAAAAGATGTTAAAGAGGCTCATAACTTGACTACTGGGGAATGAGATGATTCTATGGATTTGGAAATTGGAGAGGAAAGATACGAGGAAATACCAAACATAAATGAATTGTCAGAAAAGCGAAGGCAAGAAATAGAGAAGAGGAAAGCAAGTGAAGGGATTGAAGACTATAAAGGACTACTAAGGGATATTGTCTGAGTTTAAAGAGTGTGTATTGAAAATCATTAATATCACAAGCAAGTCCTACAAAAGTTTGATGACAAGAAGGCAATTACAAGCAATGAACTTTCAGAAAGTGCCAAAAATTGCAACTTATCAAATTGCAACTACAAAAGTAGTATGTTTTAAGTGGAAATTCGTTTTTGTTATACTTGTAAGCCACTCCTTTTACTTTTAATGATAATTTGACATGTAATTAGGTAATAACTACTAATGTAACATCAATGTAGTTAAAGATTTTTCAGCTTTTCAAAAATGGTGCAAATTGCTTTGCGAATGTTGATATTATCATTTTTTATAGGTAATTTTAAAATCCATTATTCAAAGAAATTGACATGTTAACTACAAGAAAAACAGTGCACAGTCGACAAAAATGATTGAAACAAAACCCTTAATATTCTCATTCAAATAATTGTAGCCGCAATTTCCAGATACAATATAATGAAAACTTACTTTTTTTTTTGAGATATGATGCATGTGGAGAAGAACAAATTTGAATTTTTAATTCTTATATAGTGGAGGTTTTAGTTCCTCTCCTCATTTTTTATGGTGTATTTTTCAAGACTACTTCCGAGAGATAAACTCTTCAATAGTAAGGTACATTTATCGATAGATATAATGTTGGTAATTCACTGATGGCTTCAGGTATTCGTCAATAAATTTATGGATGAACATTTTTTACTCTTCATTCTATCTGCCTATGATTGTCCTTATCAATTGAGCATCTTTAATTAATGACGGATTTGTGTGTCCATACACTTGTATCTTTCTTTGTAATAGTTGTTTATGCATCTTGAAGCACTAGAGAATTAACACAAGGAGACTTAGGGAACATATTACTTAGAATACTTCGAAATTATGCATTTATATATTATCTCTCTCTCTCTCTTTTTTTAATACCTTTTAATTTCACTTTGCTATTTTTCAATGAATAACTACTCTTTTTAGCGTCGGTTTTAAATTATGTGCTTGTTTGGATTTTATTATAAGTCAGTGAAATTATAATGTGATAGAAATGAATGGTGGATAAATTGGTAATTGTGTGTCCTACGAAATGCGTAGCTATATTTAAAATTTGATTTTGACCTTTAAATTATAACATGTTTACAATGAAATTCAAACAAGCACTAGCAAGTGAAATCTCTTAAATTTCTTAGAGGGACTTTTCTTTAGATACCTTTTGATTGTACTTTTTATTACCGGTGTAGACATAATGTTAAATGTTCATACACTAAAAAGTGCACGTCAAGTTTCTGCCACTTCCATATGACTAAAAAACGTAATTGTTGACTGTTATAATCTTATCTTTGTTTGAGTCACATTAAAATTTTCATTTTCATTTTCATTCTTTTCCTCTTTTTCAACCATACATTCTCCATCAATTTACTATTCCAAAATACATCATTTCTTCTGTTCGAAGAAATTATAAGTTATGTTTCCTGTATCAACCTGATCCTTTGTCTACATTTTTATCATGTCAAATCACTTGAATTGGACTTCTTCCGTTCGTTACTTTGTTAAAATCGACAAAGATGGACCCACTTTAGCATAATTACACACCATGAAAGTAGCAGCTTTATCCAGTTTGCAAATGATTAGATTGGGAACCTAGAGACTGGAGATTGAAATATACATTCTACTGTAAATACAATTGAACAAAGAATTGTTTGCTTTCGAATTTTAGATCCTTTCATATGCCCATTTAGGCAGTATTGTGTTATGTTTCTCCTTCCCCTTTGGGGTGCAATCCTGTTCATTTTTACCTGAAATAGAAAAGTTGAATACGTGATCCTCTGAATGATATGTAATGTTTCGTGTGGGGGTACTGAAACGTCTTGTTGTCAACTTGTCATTGGACAGACCTCAAAAGAGTATTTAGAAAAGCAGATGGCCGAAGTAGAGAACAACCGCCTGGAGCTCTTACAAGAAGATTCCGGATTTTCTCGTCAAATAATGTCCATCTCTGTATAAGCTCCGTGAAATTCTTGGTCTCGTTTATTTGTATGAGTATCATTTCTTTACCTGTCAAGGAACGTGAAATTGGTTTGTTCAGTTATTATATATCATCATGTTCGAGCAATTCACAGATGTTAGATAAGATTATTGATAATTCAGAAATGTTGGGCATGATTTTTTCCTATTCTTGAACTCTAAACGCATCAAGTATCCTCCTTGAAAGTACTTGGCTCAAACTACTTGCAAAGTTCACATAGTGACTCGGTTGTGTAGGTCCATCACCGACTGAAGTCACCTCGACTGCCTTGGTCCATCACCGACTGAAGTCGCGACTTCACAAAGTCCATTGCAGGCCAGAATGCGGCATGGGCAAATTCATGCGGATTAGTTGTCGAACAGAACCATCTTCTGACCAGTATCTAAATAGCGAACCTTCAAGAATATAAGCTGAATATGATGTGAATATTTGACAAAGTGGTTCATAAAAGACGAAATAAAGAAGTTGCACTTAAATATAAACAGAGGGCACATATAAGCACACATCAAATCTCCTCTATTTAGGCTATTTCAGCATCTCAAATTCAGAAACCTTTTTTTAAAAAATAAAAATTACACAAAACACGACTTTCCTCCACTTTATCTATCTGAAGAAAGAAATTAAGCCTGATACGTAAACAAAGCTGATATGAAATTAGTTTCTTCCCTTTCCAATTCTTTTCTTGGTTCTTACCGTTTTCTAATTTCCTCCGTCGTCAATCCTTAGTCATTGGCTGACTCAAACAGCACCTGAAACGAGCTTTTCTGACGGTGGTCATGATCTCTGTCTCTGCAGCCTTGAGCATTCTGACTATCTCACTGAAAGGAGGCCTAACATCAGGATTAGCATCCCAGCAATGAATCATGATCTCACTGAGAACTGGAAGACAATCACTGGGAATGTTGGGACGAACCCCTTTATTGACAACTGCAAATGCTGCCTGAACAGCAGTCATGTTCTGGAAGGGAAGCATTCCTGTGATGAGCTCCCACAGTACAATCCCAAAGCTATATACATCGACTTTTTGGGTGTACGGCCTGTGTTGGATCATTTCCCTGCATATCCAGAGCAACATGCAATAAGTAGTGTATAAGACGAACCATATAAACTACTGAAACGAAAGAACGGAGAACAATTTCAAATAAGCCTCCCTATAATTTAACTGTTTACAGCCAAAAGATCAGATACATTGCTTTCCTCAATATCTCTGGAATAGCCGTCACCACATTCACCCCCGTGTCGCTCCATCTCCAACCAATTTGTAATTAATAACCCTATCTATCTATACACCGAATACTCATTTCTTAGATTCTAACCACCACTTGTTACCATCTTTAGTACTACTGGTCCCCCATCATTGTTAAACTTCAATAATAGCCCCCTGTCAATTCTCCACCTACCATATAGACCTTGAATTCAAACCTGCAATTTAAGAGCTCAGTTCCCATTGCATTCACCACATTAACATCTAGATTGCACTGCTATTCTATCGCTAATGGCTTGCAATCACCGGCTAGTACTCTTCTCCTGCAATTGTGTAACCTACCATTTCAACTTGTGCAACAACCAGAATACTTCGTACATTTCCAGTGGACAACAGACTTTGCATAAGATGAAAGTACACAAAATTGACCATTTAATTGGGAGGACAGCTAAAAGATCATTATTTCAATATGGGACTTATTGAGTAGGCAGTTTCTCGATGCTTGTCTCATGAGAGTGTAGTCCATAATATTTACCAGCTTTTCTACGGTAGCTATTCTCTGTACCAACGTGTGGAAGTAATTTTACAATTAAAGATTCCCAAGGCTAATATATTGGACTAATTGGATGTACTGGTATGGTACTAATCTTGGACTAAAAACAAATAGCTGAAATCCTATCACTGTATGTAAATTTAGTAAAATAATTTACAGAAAGTAATGCGTACTTCAAGCACGAAGAAAATAGGAGGAGTTACATTCACTATAATGCATTTCTGTGGAATCATTACATGCCACAAAAAGAGAGGTTATTTACACTAGAAAAAAAGCAGAAAGGCAGATAAGATATAAAAGAAGTCTAAGAACTCAACATGAAATGGTACATTTAGGAAACAATTTGACTTTTGAGTATTACTCAATGGAGGAATCATACCCTCAGAAACATGGTTTCTTGCAGTTCAACAAACTGCATATTTAACCTCCTTTCATTAAAATGATCTCAACCTAAAAAATTATTGGAATAATAGGTGGTCTTCGCCCAAAGACGTTCTTAAGATGACAATGTGCATATCTGTTTACCGATAATATCTTTAATATTCTCCATCCGAAGCCTGTGGAATACAACTTGGATAGTTTTACTGCTTAAAAATCCTGCCTTTGGCAGAAGTAGAATAAATGTACTCTCTAAGATAGCAATGAAACGATATTCATCTACATGTACAATGGATGACACTAAGCCGCGTGAACTGTTATCTAAGGAGACGGTATACACTAGTCATAATAATCACAAGGTATTTCTCGGACAAGTACAAAAATTTCCACGAAAGATTTATCAGAAGAAATTTTCTTGCCTCAAAGTATGGGTGATGGAATGGCTGCATCTATTTACTATTGCATTTAACTTCTCTTTGTTCCTATTGAGTCCCACCAATGATATTCTCCCCTGATGCACAACTTTTATATTTCCACTAAATTTCCATGCCTAGATTAGTGCTGCTACATGTCAACATAATGATGATAAGGTCATGTCATTTTTTCCTATTATCTACAAATTTAATATAAAGTCATTATACGTCTTTATAAATTCATTCCCATCATTTCTTCTGAATAACCATAGGAAGAAAAATATGGTCGATGTGTCACATTTATGCCTAAAGCACCAATTAACATTAAAGATTCTTATGGTATTAATTTTGCAGTTGGACATCGCTTTCACACGGTTGCGAGGTAATTTCAGGCATAAGGCAACTGATGAGGATGTTGAACAGATGACAAAGCTTGACAACAAAAATGAATCAAGCATCCTTTTAGGTTAAATATATAGCAATATAATCTAAGAACCTAAAAACCAGGCTCCGGAGAAACCAAGATTGAAAATTGAAACTAGGACCAATAATAAACCAAAAGAATGGTGTGAATAACACGGTAAATGCTACATCCCCTAGTTAAAGAATATTACTTGCTCAAGGCTAAGCAAGCTTCAAAAGCTCATACTCGTCGGAGTCTATGAAGTCTATAGTCATCACAGGTAAATTGTCTGTGCACAGAATTGTCCATGCTAACCATCAATAGCCATGTAAACTTAGGTTTTACATTAAATCGTCATTTTCTTTCAGTGGAATCAAAGCTTTTGGGTTTAAGAAAATTAGAAATTTTTTAAATCTTCAACACTCCCAAGATATCTGTGTGTTCATAGGTACAGAACCAAGGGATAAGTAGGTACAGTTCCATAGGAATCATCATTCGTATATACCCTTTTCAAGATATCTTAGCTGTACAAACAAGCCTTTTGAACAAGGAGCGTATTAATTTGTCAATGAAAAAGGCAAGGAACAGAAAGAAAAAGGGCCAAAGAAGAGAGGAATTAAGGGTAAAGGAAATCAATTTTTATTAATATAATCAAGGCCTTTTGAACAAGCGTATTAATTTGTCAATGAAAAAGGCAAGGAACAGAAAGAAAAAGGGCCAAAGAAGAGAGGAATTAAGGGTAAAGGAAATCAATTTTTATTAATATAATCAAGGGTTTTGAATTACACGATTAAACCATTTATATATAGAGCAAGAAACTAAAATAAAATAAAATTCTACTAGTCTAGAACTTTATCAAAATATTAAATCTAATTTAATATAATATAAGCCCTTGTTTGATACCTTTTTTTTTTTTTAAATACATTTTTCTCTATCGTCTTTTCAACCACACAGTTTTGAATAAAATAATATCACACCATCAATCCACTATTCCAAAATGCATTCTTACTATAAACATGGGAAACAAACAGGTGCTAAATAATATAACTTGAATAAAACTCAAATTTAACTTCCTATCTAAAACTCTTAACTTTACTCTTATATTTATCTTGACCTACATCACTCTTATATCCACCCATAGCTGATAGCTGTACTCACAAAGATACGTAATAGCTAATGATTCTAAATGTAGTTGCATAGCGCAAAGCAGGTTTGATTTTCCAGTAAGCATAACATGTCCTAGTTCGACCACAAGAGCATGCCAATCCACTAGGAGTTTCACTTAGGAGTCTCTCTCTCTCTCTCCCCCTCCCTCCCTCTCTCTCTCGGAATCAGTTAGCCACCAAACTCTGAAGATGTTTAGTGATTCTAAATTAGGCGATCTTGAGATTTCCTAATAGTTTACTTTTTAAGATCTCAAAACCACAAATACTTTAGTCTTTAGAAAGTTAATCGAGTGATTCCTAATAGTTGACTGTTGCACGAAAGTAAGGATGGCAAAAAAACCCGACAAACCTAATACCCGCTTAATTGGTATTCAGGTCGGGTCGGGCCCTGTTTAATATATATATATATATTTTTAGAATTCAATATTTTAAATGGTAAATTCTACGAAATCTCATTAGTTTTAATAGAAAATGGCAACTAAGATTATCTAAAAAATATAACAAACAATAAAAGCCTTTATTTACCAAATATATTTGAATAATTTAAGTTTTAAAAATCATATTATTGTCTCACTAATAAATAGGGGCAATAAAATGAATTTTCAAAAACTTTATGTAAAATAAATAAAAAATTAAACGGAGTAGTAAGTGAGGCCCCTTCTTGCCTTGTCCCATTGCCATCTCTACACATAAGGTCATGTTTGCAAAAGTTAATCGAGTGAAAAAGTCACAGAGGTAAAAATCAACAAATTTCTCATGGGTATGAAATAAGCAATAGAGTATAACAACTGCAGAATCCATTACTAGAATCGATTAAAGGTGATCGATTGACTTTACAATAATAAGGTTGGTCCAGAAAGAAACTAAGTGAATGTGATTTGCAGCCCTTTCATGGTAGCCTAGAAGATCATGATCTAAATGATTTAAGTTTCATTCAAAGATGTTCAAGTCGAAAAGACATGGGCGTCAATTAATAATAGAAATGTTATTTTTCAATACATATTTCTTCTGGAAGAATACTCCATAATCCCAGCATGTCTCAAGCAAGAGAAGTAAACAAGCATAACCATATTTATAGATATTGATGACATGTTCCCTATGGTAACTGGCTTCATAAGCAAACAATTGAATCAAGGGTCTAGTACAGAATTGGCCATTCAATCTTTTAATAGGTAATCGAGACCAGAGTTAGAAAAGGAAATACAAACAGAGGAATAACCCAGGAAAAACAAAATGAAACTCACTAAAATAAAGTGTTTTGACTCTAGTATTTGGTACCACCACAAGCAACTTTCCAAGCGTGGAGGAAGAAAGTATTAATTTCAAGGATATCACACTATAAGCAAAAAAGTTTTACAAATAGGAAATATTATGAATGTCGTAAGTTTATTTTATCTTTACGAGAAGCTACGTCTGAAGCATTGAACAATATACATAAAAATGGAAACAATCTTTATGCAACTCTCCTTTTATTCTTACCAGCACAAGGTGAAATATTTGATGGAACAACAAATTGATCGTGCATAACAAGAAAACTCTCAATATTACAGACTCGAGTTTTAAAATAAAAAAATAAAAATGAAAATACTCAAGTACGAGAGACAAAGGCAAAAACAGTCGCAACGCAACTTAGAAAAATCCATGGGAGACAAAAAGGAAATCCCAGAAGGAAAAAAAAAATTGTTGTGCAAAAATTTCTCTGACCAGTAAAATGGTCAAATTTATATGTCACAGCAGAAGCAATAAAGAAGAGTAAAGAAACTTACGGGGCCATCCAGCGATAAGTCCCTGTTTCTGGTGTCATTCCTTCAGTTTGCACCTCAATACGAGCAACCCCAAAATCTGCAATCTTAATCGACTTGTCAGAGGAAATTAGTAGATTGTCGGACTTCAAGTCTCTGTGAATCAAGTTTAGCCCGTGCACATATTCCATCCCCCTTGCGACATCCAAGGCCTGTTTTACAGCCAATTTTAAAGGCACAGATCGATTTTGCCGCTTTGCTAAGAAATGGCGCACCGAACCCCCCTTTGCATACTCTGTCACGATACACCAGACCATGGGTTTACGGCAAGCACCGATAAAGCGAACTATGTTTGGATGCTTCAACCTTGCCAACATCATCACCTCCTGCTGAAACTGCTGCTCCATCAAGTGTGCCCTTTCTGGATTATTCTCCGGCTTCTCTAGAAGCTTAATTGCAACATCTTCACCATTATAAGTACCCTTATAGAGCTTCCCAAATGCACCCTGAGCAAAAGCTTGCCCCATGTTAAGCTTCCTCAAGTCAATCGTCCACTCGTCATAGTTCCCAAGCCCATCTGTATGATATCGAGGGTCCATCAAAGCTTGGGCCAGGGCATCGTCGCTCAGCCCGTGGGAGACTCTCCCACGATTGACACTTGCCGCAACAGAATAGTCTTTGACATGCTTTAGCCCTTGGTGAGCCAAGATACGAGTGTGCGAATCATTTGAACCAACACTGCTGTTGTCCATCGACATGGCAACAGAGCCTCCACCATTGCTCATCTGCAAGCTCCCATAACTATCAATGGACATGTTAGACCCCTCATTTAGCTTCCGATAAAAATCTTGAGAGAAATCGTAATTGTCGTGATTCTTGTGTAGGCCTATAATTCCAGTAAATTTTGGACCCTCCAGCATTTTCCTTTTTCAAGACAGTTCTCACAGAACAAATACTTAACACTGCACGAGGATTTAGAAGCTATGGACCTCGCTCATTGCAGAAGTCTAAAGAACCCACTATACAACCCACCACCATACACACACACAACACATAAAGTTTGATACTGTCACGTTATCTTGCATAAAAATGTTCAAATTGTTTTCTCAACTTGAACATTCAGAGCTAGAACGCATTGAGCTGCGAAAAGTAGATTAAACTGAATAAAAATTAACCAAAGATTCAGAATTCATACAACCCTAAAGAGAATTATAAGAGCTCCCAACAAAGATCATACAAATCATTTAGAAGCTCGAAAAAGTAAACAAACAAACCCTAATTATTCATTTGACCTTCCTTTTCTCATCTTTCTTTTGTGCTGGCAATAATTACAGTCCATACAACTCCATTACCATCAAGGTTTTCACTTCCCAAACCAAAACCAAAACCAAATACAAAAAATTCAAACTTTAACTCGGAACTCACAAAAATAAACCTTTATACAAGAATGAAGACACCACGAAAAATCCAACACGTTTTAGCACAGAAAAGAACTTCAGAAAACCTCAGAATTACTGAAAATCAGGGATCGATCGTTAGGCTTCACTTTATACTTCAAACGAAAAACCGATAGCAAATTCCGGCGATTTGATTACAACCGTGCTCCTCTTTCTCAAACATTAGCTGCACACACAGCAAACGTACCAAGGAACTTCGCCTTCTAGTGAGAGAAAGTAGATAGAAGCCGAAAGGAGATGAAATGAATGAATGTGCTTACTGCTAAGTACAGTCTTTTCTTATTAATTTTTATTTTATGCTAATACAGGACGGGGAGGACCTACTGTGTATGTACTTATACACGCAACCTGTATGCTCCCAGCTGTATTGCGTAATATCCACCGTCGACTTGTATTAAGAGTGGGGTCCACTTTTGATAGTAAATTTGTTTTATAAGAGGAAAATAAAAATGTTCAACTCATGCAGCGTAACGTACGACATTCCGAGCTGGATTACTTTCGGCACACCGTGTCAAATTTGACTGTTAATTATATTCTATTTTATTACAAAATAATGAAAATTCGTTATGGAAATAAATTTTTTAATAGTAATTTCTGAAACGAAGAAATACTGTGTTTAAACTTTAAATTATAATTTAAGTAGAACATTCCACGTAATGTGCTATAAAAAGTAGTAATTATAAGTTCTACGAGATAAGTAAATAGAAGAATAATGTTATCTATCTAAAATAGTTAATTAAGTTACATTAAGTAATTGAATCTCTTAAATATAGGGATGTTGGTATCATCAAATTTGATTGGTTGTGGTTGCCGTCGTTGTGATGGCGGTGGTGAAATTGTATGTAGGTCTGATGGCGAAGATAGTGGTATACATGCTTAATTCTGAGCAATGAGATATGCTTAGTTTTTTGCAAGTGGTGAATTATGGCGGAGGCGCACAATAATGGCTTGGTGGTGGAGGCGATAATGGTGATGATAGTGAAGATGGTATAACATGATATGTTATAAGTTCTGATAGTGATATAACACGATATGCTACAAGTGCTGATGGTGACTACGAAAACAAGTAAATGCATGTCTACACTTTCTGCAAGAAACCAAAACATGATGCCAAAAATATAATTTTTGTTTTCCAATATATATTTTAAGAAATAACTTCCATCTATTGCAAAAAAATCTATATTACTACCTCCATTATGAGTTTAGACCATAGTTATTAAACTCGGACCAGACCGGTCGGTTCGGACCGGAAACCGTAGACCCGGACCATTGTCCTGTCCGGATGCATTAAATTATCAAGTAAGCACATGAATCGGTCAAAAACCGATTGAACCACTAATTAACTGTCCAATCGGACGGTTTTAAGTGGAACTGGATCCAGTTCCATGTGTGAGTCAGACGATTACCTAAATGAAGTAAAAATTTATGCTAAATGTGCTGGAGCTAGGATTTGAACATTGGACAATAAAGGGAAATTTTCAACTCCACAACCACTCAGCAGCCAATGGTTCTTTGTCCATTAATATAAGCAAAACATATATATTATATTTTGGAAAATGGTTTCCTTTTATTTCAAAAATACAATTTAATTAAAATTAAAATCAAGCAATGACCCACCGGTTGAACCTTCGATCCACCGGTCAATCACCTGGTCGGGTTTAATAACTATGGTCTAGACCATTCTTCAGGTCATCCTCTTGAACATCGATTCTGCCTTGCCTCAGTATTATTTGTCTTGAATATTATAAAAATAAACTAAATTTGGTCCCTCAATATCGTTTCTATTTAAATATCCTATTCGTGTACTTTAAAAATTAAGGGAATATTTTGTCATATTTTTTTATTTATTATGATTTTTTGCTTATTTAAAATGAGGTGTAAATAAGTATTTTACGCCCTCTTAACAAATATTTTTTATAGAAATCAATATCAAAAATAAAATGTGTTATTTGATATGTCGCCAACTATAATAAAAGGCGGTGTTAAAATTACCTTAATTTGAAAGGGATGAAGAAAAGTTGGTGAAAGAATTGTGACTTGTAAAGGTTGGAATCAGAGAAAAATGTTGGTTGAAATATAATCAATTAAGATAGCATTTGTTTGAACATGAGAGTGTTAATATTTTTCATTGTTTAGAAAAAAAATAAATTAAAAAAATAGAATTTTCAAAAATTTAAAAATTTTTTGTTATTCATTTGTTGATTTTCCCCATAGGCCTGTCTATAGTGCCGAAAGGGCCTACACTTTAAACCTTGTTCGACATGAACCCCATATTTATAGGGCAAGTACATCATATCCTTAAGATGAAAAGCTTAAAGATGAGAAGTTCGGGCCAATGGGAGTCCAGCCCATTGACACCCCTAAGGCTAAAAGGAAAATTTATGAGAAAAAGAGTAAGGGGGAGAGGAGTATTGACGATGACATCTCATTTTTCGTATTTTCGTTTGTTAACAATGTTTAATGCATTTGGAGCAAAGACAAAATCAAGGGGCCTCCAATGGTACAATACATTCTTGATTGAATATGCTATTGTAAGAATTTCTACCTATTGCAATTATACATATTTATCGAGGAGTTATGCAACAGTTTGGTTAGCAAATGAGAAGTCATTTTGTTCCATAAGACGTACTAGACATTTCAACAAGGCTTCAAAGTTCAGACGGCGAGAATGAGTGTCAATTATTTAAAGACATTTCGTATATTATGTTCAAGAAACTTCAATTTTAATGTGATTTTGGGGAAAAATGTATTTTAAAAAAATAATTTTTTGGAGAAGTAAAAGTTTTGAATTTACATGTAATATTATTTTATTGAAAAATATATGGTTGAAAAGACAAAAGAGAAAATACAATAAAATTAAAATGAAGCCCAAAAATTACATCAAATAAATAGTGTTTTTATTTTTTATTATTTGTTTCTCAATATTGAATTACTCATCCTCATGAACTTCGGAAAATATTTCAAGATATTATTTTGGTTGCTCGGAAGAATACATGATTTGACAACTTAATAAACATATAAAAATTGATAAAAGATAGATAAAAATGGATGATACATATCAAGTAACACAAAATTGGACTTTAACAAAGAAAAAGAAAGCTTGATCATTAAAATGTTCAGTTTTGTTCCATACGACGTACTAGACATTTCAACAAGACTTCAAAGTTCAAACGGCGAGAATGAGTGTCAACTATTTAAAGACATTTCGTATATTATTTTCAAGAAGCTTCAATTTTAACATTGAATATGCAAGGAAAAAAATAAAACAAATGAGCAAATCACCTAGAGATGAAACATTTCCAATTATAAGTTCCTTTGATCATTGGACTTAAATCATCTTGAGTCATGTGGTGTCTTGAATAAATCAAACTCTTTCAAAAAGGAACTGCCTGAATGATTTAAATTAGTCGAAAGCACCAGAGAAGCAGAAGGACCTTCTTCTGCTGCTGATTGAACAAATGGCCAGTTCGGATTGTCCACACTGGCGTTTCCGTGCAATAGGCCCTTCATAGAAGTGGATTCATCCCGATTCGAACTCCAAGGATTATCGATTGACAGGAGAGAGGAAGCACTCGGTAGATCTACTGAAATGGCAGAATTAGTTGCAAAGTTTAATCCATATACCGGTAGCACATGGACAGGGTAAAGATGGATTATAGCAGGATTTGTGTTACCATTGAACTATGAATCTTAAAGAGAAACTTATCAATCAAAAATGTGGGAAAGAAATTGAAGAAGACATACATTGATCTAGGACCTGAGGATTCGTGCTCTGAAGGGACAATAACCTCTCTGACTCGACATGTAGGCTATAAACGGCACTTGGAATCTCATGGTTGGGTAAACACGGTCTCCTATAAGTTCCTCCTGTCTTTGAAGGCCCAACGAGGGAATTGTCGGCTTGTCTAAGCATAGAACTGCAGATATTTTCCCCCATTCGATTTGAAAGCGAGATAGGGAGTACATCAAACAGCACATTCTGTGATGTCCTCTCTGATCAGATCAGAAAACAGGAATTACTTGTATTTACTAAGCCAATTAAAATGAAAGATGAGAAAATCTAAATTGAAAATTAAATTTAAAGAACACCATATAATGAAGAAGATAACCTGATGAGCTGAAATGGATCGACTTAGGCTGCAGCCTACGGCGTCTGGCATTGTGATCAGAGAGACGCCTTCGACAGCTTCTTTTTTTATCATCAAACTTCGACAAGCCATGGAATCTTTCAAATTATCAAACAGACAGTGTTATGTCAAAAAAAAAAACTTGTAACTAAACATGTGTTGAATTAGCGAAAAGCAGAATGCGGAGAAACTTGCCTGCTGCATTGTTGGCAAAACCGCCTTTCCATTCCAGCTACTATTACCTTGGGGCTTTTGGAATGGTTTTCGCAGATTCTATGATGCCGGTGATAATCTTTTGCCAATGCAAGATCAAGATTGTACCCTTCAACTTGGCAGCTGGGATTCTGCATTTTCTGATAAGACGCCCTCCATCTTTTTGTAGCAGTAGTAGACACTGGAATTGAAGATGCCAATCCATGTACTTTCTGTTTTCCAAGTTCTGAACTAATAATCGATTTGCCTGAGCTCCCACTTATCTTCTCCACCCCGATAAAGTTTTCGTCTAATTTATTGCTTACAGGCAAAGAACCTGCTGATACAAAAGGACTTCTTGAAGAAGAACCACCTTCAAAACCATTCCATAAAAATTTTATGTCCATGTCTTTTTTCCTCGCAATCTCTTGAAGCGAAGCCCCTGCCTGTTGAGTGATTTCAATTGGCTCGACACAATCCCAGCCCGACCCTGTTGCCGTCTTTGAATTCCACTCTATTAACAAAAGGGATTCTCTAAACATTGCCTTTGTGAAAAACCAGGTCTCCAGCCCAGATACTCATCGAATGATCATAACATTTTAAGACAATTCTTGATATTTTAAGTTGAAAAGGCCAGTTAAACTCCAAGAACAATGAGGACCTAACACAATTGACTAAGTCACTAAGAGAGATTCGTAACTAGTCCAAAAGATAGTGATGCTTAATAAAGCAAAGGATTTTTGGCGGTCGAGCTTTAAACACGTAGGAGAAATTTTGGCATTGTGTAAATTCCTTTACTTGAAGAAATCAATATGTAGAGTAGGTAGCAAAATGTTTGGTGTTCCCTTAGAAAAAACAGATTATAAAGATTACTCCAGGGCCTAGAAGAGTAACACACAAATTTAACACCTTGAAGGCAACATAGACAGATAGAGAAAACAGTAGCTAAATGACAACAGATGGGCATCCCATTACCATTTAAGCGTGTTGCGAAAAAGCGATTTGAAGTCGTAACATAGATTACTAGATTTTTAGAAGTATTGAACAACATTTTTTACTGTTCAAAACAACTTTAGACTCAGATGAAATCTACTATTATCACTACTAGTATTCGAAGAACGCATCACTTTTAACAGAGAAATTGATTGCTTATATGGAAGGGGTGTGAATTTGCTTGGAGCAACCAACTGTAGTCCAATGGTTGTAGCGACTCTATAGTAGTGAGAAGAGGTTTATCAGAGACTGTAATGGAGTTGACCTTGAAGGTTCATGTTCTACTCGTGCGATGTTTCTATTGGTTGGTTCTTTCTCATGCTCTGTTGCATTTTTTTTAAGATGCCGTTCTTACAAATTTGAACTGTATGCGGTCAATGTTAATTAGGAATATCAAAAGCTTGAGAGGTTTCGGCTTGCTTGATCAAATATGAATTGGGGCAACTCATAGCTTAAGAGCTAATTATATAGCCATCAGTATTGGATGCGTAAGTGAATTGAAATTTGTTGTCCCCTTTTAGCTGTACTTTAGCCGTCTTTTTAAAACATTGATACATCTCTTACTGGCAAAAGAAAAGATGACATTTCTTTTTTTTTTTTTTTACTTGAAATACACGAATTTTGTTCAATTTGCCACGCCACCCCTCATGTGGATTCTTCCCTTTTCCATTCTGGCGAGGACAAAATACATCAAATATTAGTGTTGGGTTTTGATACCCAATAAATCCGGGCGATGATGTAAAACAGTTGTCGAAAATTTATCGACACCATAAATTTGGCTCCACTCGAAAACGACCTATACTTTTGGNTTGGTGGAGTTGTTATTTTTTAATTTGTCACTTTTTGAGTTGTTACTTTTTTGCTTTAATGGAGATTTGTTGGGTTTTTTATACCCAATAAATTCGGGCGATGATTTAAAGTAGTTGTCGGATTATTTAACGACACCATAGACTTGGCTCGACTCGGAAACGACCTATACTCTCGGATGGCCCAAGTTTAGGTTTGGATGATTATGTTGTTAGCCCATTTGTGTAGTTAGTTGTGGGACTTATTTGGTAGCCCATTTAGTGGACTGAGGCCCATTTTGGAAGGAGTGTTTGACCTAAAATTAAGTGACCTAATTGACTGCTTTTATATTCTCACCATTCCAGCCTTTTTTGTGTGTGTGTAAAATGGTGTGCAAGAGAGGAGCCGTGAGAGAGAGGCAGCCGGTTTTGGTAGATTTCTTGGTGAGTTCCGCCATTGTTATTCTCTTCTCCTTCCTCCCTATGTGGGCTTGCATATCACAACCACCATATCTCCTTTGTGGGGATGTAAATCTTGGAGCAACCGGGTGTAGGAGTTTTGAGTTGAGCATTGGTAGTGTGTGTTCGTTTGGTTGTTTTCTGAGCCTGGAATCAAGGTTTCTCGAGGGATTATTTCTGACAAATGGTATCAGAGCTTGTGTTGATGAGAAATATGTGATTTTTGGGGGCAAAAAGGGGATGGAAAAAGACCAGAATCGAACCAAAAAAATAGGAGGAAAATCTGTGTTGTTTTTGAAAGATCTCTGCCGGATCTGTTTCATTGATCTCCTATGAAACCAGAGGTCTAGTGGAGAAACGGACACCACAGCGGACTCAGTAGGCGGATGAGTAGCTGGGAGGCCGGCGACGGAGCCTCTGCCGGCATGTGAGGCCCAGGCGTAGCGCCGACGGTGGCGCTTGGGCCGAATTTTGGTAGAGACTTCTTCAGACAGAATGTTTCTGGAGATGATATGGACCCTACGGTGTTGTCGAATTTCAGTTTCGAGCAATATGGTGAAATCAGGACGATTTTGCGTTTGGATGTTCATGTGCCGGTGTTGTTTCGTGTTGACAGAAGCTTTAGGGCGGATTACGGTAGTCCCAAAGTGGTGAATTCGTAGCTCTTGATATTTACGGACCTTCAAACGTGGTCCGCTCAATATCGTATTTTTTGCCTTTTATTATTGCAGTTATTGTTATCGTGTAGAGTAACGATTTAATTTTCGCATTAGAAGTTATCGTGTAGGGGTGACGTTAGGTTTGAGATTACCGTGAAGGGGTAATGATTGTCTGTTACTAAACCTAAGAATTATTTGTTAATTATTTGCTTTGAATTCTATGTGAATTAGTTGCCAATTAAATTTTTTCATAATTAGTATTGCACATGACCTTAGGAAAGTTTACTTGACTATTCTATGTGAACTGTGTTGGTACTTTACTTGTGTTCGTTGTTGGTTGCATTTTGTGTTCTATGCATTTTTGAGTAAAATGACAAAACATTATGAGTTGTGCATGTTTTAATGAAAAATATAATATTTTAGTTTGGCAAATGTGGTCTAAGGCAAGTGCGAAAAATCAGATGTGTTTTAACTGCATTATTTTGGACATTATTGAACTAGACTGTCCTAGGGATGATAAAAGGAAATTTTTAATGAAAATTGTAGTTTTTTTAATTTGGCAAAACGAAAATTTGGACATGGTTGAGGCGAATTCTGTCATTGGGTCGAGTGATAACCTGTGTGAGGTTTATTAAACCTAGTTATTGCACGAGCATTTGTGTGTAACTTTTTCTGCATGTGTGACCACTTAATTCTGTTGCATGGTGATATATTACATTTTCAATATGTTTGATGTGTGTAATGACATGAATTAAAGTGATCTTATTACTTTGTGTAATGTGTTTGCATGTATAGTTGATTGATATCTATGGCGTACGGGTAGCCACGTGAATGTTATGTTTTTTCTCTTTGTGAACATCTTTTGTGAGTGCAGTAAAATAATCAACTGTTTCTTATATTCTCTTTGTGATGCCACCTTCACATTTCCCTTTGTGGGATAAATTATGTGGATTTGTAAGAGCATTGGTAATTAGGGGTGGGCAAAACCCAAACCAACCCGACTAACCCGATCGACCCGACCCAAACCGACCGGTTTGGGTCGGTTTTTTTAATGTTTTGGG